CTTTTCATCCCATTTGTGGTATCAGAATAAATAGTAACAACAATACCATATTATTTACCAACAGACAACACCCATGCCAAAACGTCAACCCGATAGAAGAATATCTGACATATACAACATATAGAAAATAAATTATCAATGTATTAGATATCATAAAGAAGGATTGCACAATTATGTTAACAGTATATATTTATGTAAAATATACCGCATTAGTGCTGAAAAACAGTAAAATTCACATCGGAACCATCAGAAACAGGACCGCACAATTGGAGCATAGTAAACTACCAAATTTTTAGCTCTTTCCAAAAAATTCGCTATTCTAGAGTTTTCAAAAAAATCTGGTAGTCAGCACCTTATCCGGATTTTTCGAAATCTCCGGTAATAATCACGTTACATAATTTATAGATTTCAGACTTTTCTAAAAAATTGGTAAAAGTACAAAAGATTTCAGATGTTTCCAAAAATCCGATAAATATTCAAGAGATTTTTGGATTTTTCAAAAAAAATTGGTAAGACTGCATTTGACTTTAAATTTTTTGAAAAAATTTGATAAAACTGCATAGGATTTCCGGATTTTTCAAATTTTTTTTATAAAATTACAAGATACTTCAATGTATTTGCTTAAAATAGGATAAAATTTCATGGGGTTTCCAGATATTTGGAGAAAATTCAATAAAACGTCATATCAAATTTTTAAAAGTCCGATAAAAACACATAAAAAAAACATACTTCACCGAATTTTTTGTATTGAATTTTTTAAATGAACTAGCAGATTTTTTTTAATCTTTTAGGTTTTTACAGAGAGAATTTTTTACTGCAACATGCAAAATTGAATGGTAAAATAATGTGAAAAGTAAATTTATCATTATAAAAAATTAGGGGTATCAGATACAATTAAGGGGTGGCAGGAAGATTCCTCATATTTCTCCACAAGATCTGTGAATGTAAATGGGCCTAAAGCCCAATTTCAATTTGTTTTGTGAAAATAAAACCGCCAATTCCCCCATATTATCCCCAAAAGAGTGAAACTTGAAGAACAGAAATGGCATTGGAGAAAACAGTATCATCAACCAGTTTGAGAAACCTCGTCACCTTCCCTCAAAACCCTAATTTCATACCCAAAATTTTCACTACACTTCCTTCCAAACTCACCAATAGAAACTTCAACTTTAGCCTAAAGTTAAACTGCTTCAATTCCACCCCCAATGTATCATACCCTAAACCCTCCGAAATTCCATGGAACAAGGAACTCTGCAACTCCGTCAATTTAATCGGTTTCGTCGGAAACCCCGTCGAAATCAAACACCTTCCCTCCGGTAAATCCGTCGCCTGGACTCGCCTCTCCGTCAAGAAAAACGCTACGCAAACGTCATGGATTCATTTGACGTTTTGGGATGAACTTGCTCATGTTGCTTCTCAGCATCTTCAGAAAGGTCACCAAATTCATGTTTCTGGTCGGCTTGTTACTGACACTGTTGATTCTGGGGAAGGAAAACAACAAACTTACTACAAGGTTTTTGTAACCGCCAATGTTCACTTTTGATTCCGAGAACTTGTGTTTATTCAGAATTCAATTTATATAGTGAACATTTTAACTGAATTGAATGACACTGTGTTGTGGCTTTTTGTTTATAGGTTGTTGCTCAGCAGGTGAGTTTCATTGATAGGAGTGAGTTGCCTGCGCCTTCGCATGATAAGGACTTTGATTTCATAACATCTGATGATGGTATGTTTTATTTTGTTTGGATGGACAATTTAATTAAGCACTTATAGCATAAGTGATTATATGAATGTGGTTTGATATAAGTCATTTCGATTACAAAAGATAAAATAAAGTTAAATTTCATTTAATTTATGTATTTTCACTAGCTGTCATTGAGAGCTTAAGGAAATAAGTTGAAAACCGTTTATGGACATGTTCCATGAGGTTTTCATAAGTTGTCGTCTCCGTCTCCGACAGTCTCGGAAGTACTTATGCTAGTAGAAATCTCAAATAAGTCAATTCAAAAGGCTTTAAGTGGAATGTAGTATGGGTTATGAAGCACTGGACACCTCTAGTAGTAGTCGTGTCGCGGTGTCCGACATGTGTCAGTGTCCCACACTTGTATGACATTCGTACAACATGTGTCGGAAAAGTCAAACAAGTGTCGGAAAAGTCATATAAGTGTCTTCAAAAAATTAGTTTTTTTTCTTTGCTTCGACACATTTTGAATCGATGTTCGACATGACACTCATACAACATGTGTCCAATAATTCAGACAAGTTTTCTTTAAAAAAATTGTGTCTTTCTTTTTCTCAACACACTATATACATTTTCTAGATAAATTTCACGCACGATTAAAAGAATTAAACATATTGAAGCAATGTTATTAATGAAGAATTAAAGACATTAATTTTGATTAGAATATTTTTAACTCTTTTGATAGTAGATGAATAAATAAAACTCATTTACTATGACATATATAGTGGTGTCGGTGTCCTAGGTTTTGATATATCGGTGTCAGAGTGTCTGTGTCCGAGTCGTGTCTCGGTGTCCGTGTCCGAGTCTGTGCTTCGTTGACTATGAGCTACAGCAGGGTTTTGCTTTTTACCAAATAATTTTGAGCATTTTTCTTTATTGTTTCAGGTAAAAAGAGTTATGCTGCAAGTAATATGACTGGTTCTGTAGTGGAATTATGGCAAGTTTTCTTTGCTAACCCAGGGGAGTGGTGGGACAATAGGCTGAACAAGGTAATGTTAATAAATCTTATGAGTTAGAAAAGGTGCTTATTTATCTGTAATGTTAGGGTCCCTTCAAGTTTTATGTTTCGACTTACAAGTTTTATGTCTCGTGCCAGTTGATTATTGCTAACATCAACCTTAACCACATTCTTTCAACTTACCTTTCAACAATTTCCTTCATTTAATCTTCCATGCATCGAAGTTTAAGAGAAGGGTAGTTTGCCCCATTACATAGTTAGGATTTGCATAAACAAAGGTTTATGTCGTTACGTACAAATAACTTTGTCCATAAAGGATAAGTTTCTAGTTTTGAACCCAAAGTCCTTGTTTAGATAAACAATTTTATAGTTCTTCACGATTTGGAGAAGTTTTTATGAACTTATAGTTGTTCAGGAACAAGTTATTTGATAGAGTTGTGTAATGGTTGAGGCTTGGAAGCTAATTTCAATTTGCTCAAGAAATTGTTGTCGAAAAACATTTAATTATTACAATTTTGCATTGGTGTTTTGTGAAAAGTTTACTGAACAGATTTCCACTCTGTTGGCATACTCTATGCCTCTTTTACTATTTCTGTCCTGGCATAATTGTCAAGAATTTAACTGTACCATGGTTTGGTACCTTTATCATTAAGAGTTATGAACCAATATCAATATATTAATAATGATTCAAACAAAACGACATCTTGATTACTGCATATTTATCCAATATTATTGTTACCCTGAGTTTCTTTACTTGGATTAACATGGAGAATTATCTTCATGTTTTAGTAACCATGTCTAACTCATAATTGATAACCAGTACTGATGAATAACATTTTGCTTACAAGTTGCATCCTCCATTTTGTTATATGAATAGTTGTTATGAATTTTGCAGAGGAACCCTAAAGCTCCTGATTTTAAGCACAAAGATACTGGAGAAGCTCTGTGGATTGATGGTAGATCCACTCCACCATGGGTCAAATCTCAATTGGAAATATTAGACACGAGGATGGGGTCGCATACCAGTCAAAATGGTAGAATGGCGGTAAATATGGTGACCCCAGATGAAATACTGTCTTTCTAAAAGCTATGCCAAACCACGCGCGTAATATTCTATTTCAAACTGTCAAACTTCTGTGAAGTTTCAGTTTTTGCCGTAAAATTAGGTTCTACAGGCATATTGTTTATAGTTTCTGTCTGGTGATATATTAGTGTTTAGTAAATCAATTTTATTTCAGCTTGGTTAACATTATGTAGAATTATATTTTTGCCCATGAAACAGATATTAATATTTAATGTGGAAAAGTGTACCAAAAATGGTTTGTTCATAGTAACATTAAGCACGGTCATTAGAGACACGTCAACAATGGTAATGATTTTAAAAATTGAATAAATTAAATGTGATCATATGAGTCAGTAACATGTTCATAGTAACATTAAGTACGGTCATTAGAGACACGTCAATAATGGTAATAATTTTAAAAATTGAATAAATGAGTCAGTATCGTGCTGGTGTTGGACATTGATACATGTCGGACGTAGAAGATTTTGAGTTATGTACTCCCTCCTTTCCAAAATAAAAATAAAAGTTTTTATGGCAGTGACATACAAATTAAGAAAAAGTAATGAGCAAAAGAATAAATATAACATAGACATAATTAATTTGCATTGAAAAAGTACTTATTTTTGAAAAAAAATTTAAATTAAAGAAACACTTATTTTAGGATAGATGGAGAGGAGTATATGAGAAGAATTGGTGAAAGTTAGGCAAAGCAATATCTAAAATTGTGGATCGCACACATGCCATAAAATTGTGGATAGAGAGGGACATTGATACAAGTCTCTGATGTAAATGGCAAAAATAGCAGATTCCTAAAGGACAAAAGCAATACTAATTAAAGCAAATCTCTGGGATATGGATTCATGTATCTATGTCTACTTTTAGATTGATGAGTTTGAGACGTAACCATGGCTGCCAACTGTTGTAGGCCAATCCCTCCAGTTAATATTGCACTGTCACATGTATGGACACTGTGTTTGACCCACCACAATTGAAGGGTGTTTTGAACTCTGATCTCTTGAGCATTAACTTACTATCAAGGTATGATTATACACCAGAACTAAATAAAGAGTGTTGAGGATACCTTTTTTCTTGATTAACCAAAGGTTTGATCATCTCCATAAAGATTAGAATCTAAAGTTTGGTTTTTAACTCGGACATTTTCTTACTTAACTCTAGATTTATGTTGATATTTTTTCATAAATCAACTTTTTATTCATCTTCAAAGTCCTCCAAGAGAAGAAAGGAAAAAAATTGACATAAAACTATTTGAAATTACTATTATTTGTTGATACTTTTGCCTTAGTACAATATTGAAATCAAGTAAAAACATAGATCAGATCAAAACCAAACCATATTACAGAAAAAAGAGAATGAAAGTTGCACCTTCTTGATGGATCCTCTTGTATACATTATTTATATTTATATATGTAAACAGATACATATATATATATATAGAACAGAATGAAATATCATGTATGTATATATATAACCTCTGTACAATTAAAACAGCATTTGCTTCTCATTCTTTCTTTCACACTGGCTTCAAAGATTTAGAACAACATAAATCCTTAATGAACCAGAAACAACTAGATATGAAAACAAAAATAATAAAAGAAAACAGGAGTTTTTCTATGTGTCTCTATCTTTTTAATCCTTTGCTTTTTGGTTCAAAAACAACCCAATCCTTTAGCTTCAGATCCTTTCATAATTGTCAACCTCTTACAAGAAGACATGAACATTCTGCAATTAACATAACCAAAACATCTCCATAAGATAACAATTAACAATATTAATCAAATGTTTACTTTAAAAGAACATGAATATGAATGAATGAATATAGAACAACTTACTCCCAAGGAACATCTCCAACAAGCATCCAATCACCATCTTTATCTTCATAAGTTGGAACAAATTCAGATCCATTATACCCTTCTCTTTCAGAATATTCACCAAATGTACACTTGAACATATTTTCCAAAACCTCGAGAAGTTCCGAGTAACTCTTGTAAACTTTGAGATCTATCTTCCTTAAATATGGTGCACCAGCCATACTCACTTTCATGTACATCCCAACCTCTTCACCTTTCTTCTGTTGTAAGCTATTCTTCCTATAAGATCTAATTGGTGGCCATCCAATAACTTGTGCCCTACATAATATAACACAAACTTCAATCAATATTCATATTCTTTTCCAATATTAAAAACCAAAATAAATGTTTTTATATATATTATATGTATGTGCTTACTTTGAAGGTGGAGCATTATCTTGATCATCATTAGTGATATTAGAATCATCATCATCAGAAGTATTCATTTTGGTCTTGTTGATGGACTCTACCTCGGTTGATTCTGGTGAAGATCTCTTGTTGTTTCTAAGAATAGAGAAATTGGATGGAAGTTTTTCGACTTCATGATCATCACTACCGGGTAATCCTAACCTTAGCTCTGTAGCCATGAGATTCAGTTCTGATTCATGGTTTTTTAATAATGAGTTTTCCATTTCTTGATGTGAATGTTTTGAGTTGAGAATGTGAATTGATAATGATAATTGAGATGGTTGAAGAAGAAGAAGAATAAGATGCGGTTGGTGTAAGAGTACATGGTGTGGCTCATGAGTTATATAGAAACATTAGTGTGGGACAATATCTAGGTGACTTATTCCCTTGTGGTGAATGAATTGGAACACAATGATGAAGTTTGAATTTACCTTCGTTTGACACACGCGCTTAGTCACGAACCAATCAAGTGTTGACAGGATAGGATAGGGGTCTTTAGACTAGATGTGAGTAAATTCATATTTTAGGGTTTAGAATTAGATATGGGTCTTTAGTCGTTAAAGATTACAAACTATTTTTTCTATCAAAATAATTTTTTATTTTGATTATCAATGTAAATAAGTTTATATTATTAACCATCAATGATGGTCTTAATTTCCAACCATTCAAGACTTCCATAAAAAAAATTATATCAAGTTTAATTAAGATCACATATCGTAGAACTCTATCAGTTAATTGGGTTGGACATTTGTGTCTTGCTTATTTAGTTTGCAATGGATAAATATTAGAGTATTGACACCATTGACACCAGTCATGTTTGTCTTGGCTAACAAGTCTTTAATATACTAGATTTGAGTGAGAACTATAACACCATTGAGTTGATCATGTACTTCAATACCAAGGAAGTACTTTGATTTTCCAAGTTTCTTTAGAGCAAATTTAAGATGAAGTTTAGAAATCAAGTCATGAATTAGTTTAGGAGATGTTATTGTGAGTAAAATGTCATCGATATACACCAATGCATATAAGGTTATGTCCTGATGTTGATAAATAAAGAGTGAGTGGTCACATTTATTGGAGGAAAAACTAAATTTGATAAATGTTTTATGAAACTTTTCATACCACGTCCTAGGTGTTTGCTTAAGCCCATATGTTGCTTTCTCAAATTTGCGAACAAGTGTTGAGTTAGTGTTAACAAAGTCAGGGGTTTGTTGCATATACGCTTCTTCTTGAAGATCTCCATTCAAGAATGCATTGTTGATATCAATCTGTTGAATCTCCAATTTACATGTAAGAGCTAAGGACGTGATGACATGATAGTGCTAGGCTTGACTATAGGAGGAAAAGTCTCATGAAATTAAACCCTTGTCGTTGATGGGATCCTTTTGCTACAACCCTTTCCTTTTACTTGTTGATGCGGCCATCTAAATTTCCCTTTACCTTGAAAATCCTCTTATAACTTATTGAATGTTTGTATGGTGGAAGAGGCGTTAGGGTTCAAGTTTAATTATTCATAAGAGAGTTGTACTCATATTACATAGCATTGAACCACTCAGGTTAAGATAAGGCATGTTTGGTAGTGGTAGGTTATGAGTGCACAAGGAATTCTTTTTGGCTTGGAATTGCCTGTTTTAGATTTTCTTAGCATATAGGATGATTGTTGACAAGGAGAGATGAATGTGGAGGTTGACTGTGAAATGAAGGTGACAGAGAGTATGCAGATTGCGAAATGTATTGAGGGGTAAATGTTATACTTTCTTGAGATATATTATGAGGCAAGCTACTCTTAATACCAAAATTGATATGATTAGGGGCATAATTGTAACTTGGGATTATAGTACTTGTGTCAGACTTAGTAGGATGAACTTTCTCTGTTGGTTTAGAATTGTGTCCAACTGATAAAGTTAGTTTAGAGTTATGACCAATTGGTAAAACCTAATTAGTGGGGTTTGAGACAGGTTGAGGATGATGAGAGTTGGCAGACTCGTGTTGAGACCCTGACTCTACTTGATATGGCTAATGATCTATATTAGTTGATGGAACAGGTTGTGTGTGACTAGTTAAATTTTGTTGAGAGCTAGGATACAAAGTGAGCGGTAAGGAAGAAGTATATTGATATTGGTCTGAATAAGGTGTGAGTGAATCAGTTTGTAGGGTAAGATAGGGGAACTCTGCTTCATTGAAGACCATATCTTTTGAGATGAAAATTTGGCCACTCTTGTTCATGCAATTATGGCCTTTGTGTGTAGGTGAAAAAGTAGACACATGTAGAGTTTCTAAAGTCTAATTTATGTTGATTTTATGGCCTCAAGTGAGGGTAGAAAAGGAATCCAAAGATCTTTAGGGCCTTATACTATGGTAGCTTGTTAAGGAAAAAAAGGTTGAGGAAAATTTAGTTAAGTTGATATAGGTAGTCTATTGATTAAGTACACCATTGTTATAAAGTTACAATTCCATAATCAATTGGTAATGAAGCATAAGCTAGCAAAGTTAGTTCCATTTCCATAATTTTCCTATGTTTTCTCTTAACTGTCTCATTTTGATGAGAGGTATATAGACAAATAAGTATGCACTATGTCAAGCTCATTGATATATCTTGTGAGTGGTCTAAACTCACCCCAAAGTATGATTGAACTGTCTTGATATGTGCATCAAAATATGTTTTTACATAGCTTTGAAATGGCTTGAAGGCATTAAAGGCATCATTTTTTTTGCTTCAACATATATATCCAAGTGTACCTTATAGAAGCATTTACAAAAGAGACATAATAAGAGTATCCACATGTAGATGGAGTAGGGGATGTCCCTATAGATCAGTATGAATCAACTCAAAGGCATTTGCTATATTTTGTGTGACTTAGAAGAGCAAGAATTACATGACTTGTCTCGGAAACAAGCATTGCAAAAAACATATGATTTCTTATTACTTAAATGAATATTACACAATGCAAGGAGATGATGGACAATTTTAAAATGAGCACGCCCAAATTTATAATGTTATAGAACATAATTATTGATAGGAGAAACAACACTAAATGTCCTAAGACTAGCAGTGGCATTATTGACAATAGAGTGCAACTTTTTAGACTTAGTATAAAGAGGACTGGGTGAGGGTTCAAAAGTTAGATTGTTGAAGAAATACAATTCACTTTCATCAAGAAACCCTTCGAGTAATATCAAGTTAGATGTTTGTGATTTAACAAAGAAATTGTTAGCATGGAACTCAAAGTTTACTCTGTTATCTCTAGCAAACATTGAGACTGATATAAGATTTCTAGTACTGTTGGGTACATGTAGAAGATTATTCAAGATTAGATGAGATTTGGACATGAATTTGAACTTAATAGTTAAAGAACTTACATGAACAATAAGATTATGACTATTACCAACTAACACCTCATTAGGATAGACACAAAAATGAACATTTTGTAAGTTTGAAAAACAAGGAGTGATATATGTGATGCATCTGAGTCTGCAAACCAAGCATGAGACTCCAGGCCTTATGCTACTTAGAGAGTATCTTGATGAGTAAAAAATATAGTGGCATGAGTGGAAGTTGTAACACCCGAGGCCGAAGAGAGCAAATAATAAATATAACACCCAAGCCCGAAGAGAGCGAATGAGTGGTCGTCGAGTTTACATTAGAATGAGAGGGATCCTGAGGTTGTGCAGGGATGTGACTACATAGTTGAAGGAAGGATTACAATAATTGATTGATACTACCTATACTAATAAGATGTATAAGATGCATCTTCTTTTTGGTAGCCTGACAAATAAGAACTCCATAGTTATGCGTGATTGACTTGAAGTAGTATTTGGATGGGTGACCTTCTGGAAAATTTCTCAGAAAGCGTGTAAGTGAGAACAAAGCATACTGAAAAGACCCGTACTGGTTTGTGGGGTCATTCAGTAATCCTGAAAGCATTCCAGGGCATTACAAATGGTATCAGATACGACTTCTTTCAGTATAATGTGGTTTAGGGACGAACCAAGCGGAAGTTGGTGGGCATGTAACACCCAAAGACAACGAGGGCAAAAGTAGATGTAACACCCAAAGCTGAAAAGGGCGGGGAAGTGGTCGCTAAATTTACACCAGAATGAGAGGGATCCAAAGGATGTACATGGATATGACTTCATAATTGAAGAAAGACTTATAAGAATTGATTGTTGCTACATATACCAACAAGATGCATCTTCTTTTCGGCAGCCTAACAAATAAAAACTCCATAGTTAAATGTTTTTAACTTGAAGTAATATTTGGATAGGTGACCTTCTGAGAAGTTTCCCAGAAAGTGTGTGAGTGACAATAAACCATGCCAAAAGCAGTCGGTAATCCTATCATTATCAATTTTAAACATGAGAGGAATTTGTTGATTCACCACTACCTTGTGAGTCTTATGTGACAAAACCATGCCTTTAACCTTTTATTCCACTAGAGGAAGTTATTCTCTTGGATTTTGATTGAAAGCTTTGGTACAAACGTTTTTCCCAAGCTTAAATCCACCATTATTATTGTGATTGCTTGCGAAGATCTAACCACATGTTATGTCTCTTAAAGTGTGATGTCTTAATCCACCATTGAAGCTTATCTAAAGCTTGACTATGAAAATGATTATGCAAATTAAACAATCAAAGAATAACTCTTCTAAGATGTAGAAAACCAACCCAAGAGCACGAAAGAAGATGAAGAATTGAGAATGAAAAATGTTTCTTGTTAGGCGAATGATACCATAATGAGTGAATTTTGATTAATTTAGAGAGTTGACACAAGTTCTTCTTGTGTTTATTGAGAATAATTCATTGCTTGATACAAGATAAAATGCTTGTTAAATATAGTAACCATGCAAGCTTTGATTGTTAATTACGCCATGCAAGAATTAGTTAGTTAGGATAACTATCTCTCTTAAAAACCTCAAACTAACATAATTGTTGTTAGTGCGTGAGGCACTTTTAGTGAGGAGAGAAAGAGAGAATAATAAAGGAAATAAGAATTTGTATTATTCAAGTGTACAAATAATGATACACACTATGACTATTTATGTACGACCCTAGTTGGGCTTGGGCTAACACAACTTGGATTATATTAAATATTAAATCTAATCAAATCAAATTTAATCTAATTTAATATTTCAACACACCCCCATAATCCAAGTTGTCGAACATCCTCAAAAATAGTCAATCTGAACTATTCCTAATTTCTTTCTCAAATTCAGGAATCTGTCGA